AACAACTTTCGCCATGTGAGATGAACATAGCCGCTATATAGTACACGGAGATATGCTTGAGTCAGCTTTATCCACGTGTCCTACGTAGAAAAAAGGAATGGTCGAAAGGAACCCAGCTCGCTTCCTCCTACGCCAACGATCCGATGATTGGGTAAATATCCAGAATATATTCAAGGGAAGGAGAAAATAAGAGCTCAAGGAAATTCGAAAAGGCATAACACTTCCATTACTTCTAGCCTCAAATTCCATAAATTGCGTACCAGGTGGGTGCCTAACCAGCTACTAATAGAGGGGAGAAATAGCAGGCACTTAGATTTCTAATTTTCACACTCCATATATGACTATGAAAGGGAAATGATCACGTGGTACTAATGATAAATTTTACTAACAAAAACGGCCCATTCAACTCCTCTTCGCCTCGTCTGTTTCAGGTTATATGAAATCGGATTATGGAAAGGAACAACTGCTTAAGAAAGGCGCGAACAAGGTTCCAGTAGAATTGCGTAAAATGCGACTGTTCATGCGCATTATCAAGCTTACATACGCATCAGTCAACCCGAACTCTCACCGCTCATTTTGAACCCCCACAAAACTAAGTATCAGTCGGATGAACCTCATGAATGTGACTTGAACTTGTTAGCCGTGGAAACAAAGTTCAAGTTGGTTTCAAAGCTGAGGGTTCTTCACGTAGCATATAACTTGTAGTATATATGGCGTGCAGTGATAGAACGTACCACTCAAAGACAGATAAAATGCCTTTATAAGGTTCCATATTCTTGAAAGTAACAAAGAATTACGCACCATTGCCGATTAAAGTATCTAACGATTAACATGTCAGGAACAACCTCCAGTAATGTAACGTAACGTGAAAGATGAAACAATTCATTTAAAACTGTATCAACTGAGGAGTAAATTCTCTGAGCCGAAGAAGATAAACGCTGCATGCACTAACATCACAATAAGTTTCAAAGACTACCTACTTGTTCCTTACCAATTTCATTTGCATTACAAAAAAGACGCCGTTACCAATTTCAGCCGTCTGAAATAAGAATAAGAGCTCCTGAACGAGGGACATTAATTTAGACTTCCCATATTTCAAACCCTTCTGGCAACGACAAAAGTAAGAGGAGTGGGAATAGCAAACTAAAACTCACTACTCCTATAGTTTAGAAGAAATAATTGGCGCCGCGCAGAAAACAAACAGTTGTGAAACTAATACGTAAGCTGCACCAAAAAGGGAGGATCTGCACTAGTTCAAGCGTTGGACATTGTGGAAAAAAGATGTGTGGGGATACTAGGAGAACAAATTTGTATCCGTTGGAACGGGTTGGAAGAAAGTTCTCCCTATTATAGTTATCTATAAGTCCATCGAAACTCCAACACCAACAAAGCTGGTTAAAGACTGCAATATGAACATTGAGCGGTAATGAAATAGAGGAAAATCAGCAGGAAATGGTTTATTATGAAGTAATGTCGAACATACCAAGGAATGGCGATTATATCCAATACAAACCACAACATGGTACGGTTTTCAAAAAGCAATGGTATGTCCAGAACTATAATGGCCCGTCCTGAAAAGAAATTGCGCAGAATCTGAACAATGATGCGTCTAAACACAATGAGATGGATGACCCTATTAAGAACCTTCCGTTTTTCGGGATCAGCGAAGACAATTTCACCTAGTTTGTTCCTCCCCACACGAGTTCCATCCTCGTTAAAAACTGATGGTCAGAAAGCCTTAAGAATACCCCTCTGCACCTGTCTATCGTGGTCAACAACTATTAAGCAATTGCGTATACATGAAATGCCTGCGATCTCTTGATATTGTATCAGCATCAATAGCTGCGACATTCCTCTCCTTTAATATGGCTAAAACAGTTGATTTGCCGGTCGCGATACCACCTGTCAGCCCCACAATAAGCATTTTTAACAGTCCCTGCCTCAACTGTTACACTGATATCGCAGCGGCGAGCATTGAGGTTAGTGAGACAAGGCTAAATAGGGCAGCAAATTGTCATCAATACAGTTTGGAATGTAATTTAATAGTTCGTTAAATATATAGGCTTGCACATCTGGTAGTTTATTTTGTTTAATAATTACAGTACACAGATTAACTTATTTAGACACATGGAAATGTCCTTTGGAAGTCAGTGGCACTGCAATATAACTAATGTGACTCGTGCAAAGGCATTTATGAGTTGATACTGCGGGTTATTTGAATTATGTAATTTTGAACTTCAACTACAGTAGCACCAAATTATTTCTTATTTCTGCTACTAAATGAGGATATGAAGAAATGGATTTATACGCCCTCCTTTAAAAAGGATATTTCAAACGCTTTTGTAATACGATAGTGGTTTATCCCTCGGTTCTAGTGAGGCGCAACATTTGACTTTGAAGTAGCCCCCTTGTACCTCACTGGGTGGGCTGGCCTTTTGGACCATGCCAATAGCCCAGACACCTTCTCCGTGCTGAATACACATTCTGCACGAGTACTGTGTCTTCTTTCGTCTTCGGGGAGTCTCGGGACGCTACACTTTGGATTCCCAGCGTCTCAAGTTATTTCCTCAGCAGCTCCTGGACTGAAATGATTCCACTTATCTACTGCACTCTTAATATTTTTGTTTCACCTAATATGCTGTTATATTTGCATTGTGTTATGAAATGTTAAAGTCTGAATTTCACTGAAACATCAGGGTTATACTGAACTAGGAAAGTGCGTGGAGTCGTTCCGGAAATGATTGAATGAGTGGGCAATGTTAACATGATGCGCCCCAAGTAGATTAGATTTCAGAAACAAAGATTTAAGTATGAAAGCAAATTTGGATCTAAAATGCTCTCCTCCAACGAACTTTTATGTAGCACTTTTGCATGCGCAAAACAATAACATGCGTAGGTAGTTCTATGTAACGCATAAAATGTTTTAAGTATCTTCCAGGTGAGAAACACTCAGAAAACACAAGTTTGGTAGAGAAGGCGTCGTGAATGCTTTTTATAGGCGAAAGTGAGTTTAGAACTCAGATTCCCCTGAACCGGTGTTCCAATTCGCTGATGTTTATCAATAAGCATGCCCTTATCAAATCAATCTGTTCGTTCAACGGGTTCAAAGGCCAGAGAGAAAGAGCTAAATGAGGCAGTTGCTACATCTAATCTAAATAGTTGAGGGAGGTAAATAATACACTTGATCGTTTCATCTCTTCTGGTCGGATTCTCTATGGTACTCTCCATCTTAGACAAGCTAAAACATCCCTTACTGTGTTGAAATCTATGACTAGCAAGTGCAGCGGATGGAATGATTTATTAGTACGCACAATCGCCTTTGCTAGCAAGCTTCAAATGGATTGAGACTACAGCATAAAGATAATAATTTTTCTTGGTTCTTGCTTCATATATTATTAACAGACCGTATTTTAAATATGCCTCCCGAATTTTACGCATACATGTTACCAAGCCGGTATTTCAAGCATCCGTGTGGGGAGTTATCAACCTTCTTACTAGTGCCGTTATCTTTTCTTAACAACCCTTGAATTTCTCTTGAAAATTAAAGTGGAATTAATTCCAGGTTACGTACTCATCCTACTAAGGGTGTGGAAGGCGAAGTTCACTCATATATTACAAAAGATGAGTTTGTGTTTGGCACATATTTTGCAACAATTCACTCTTTCAAAGTAGGAGAAACTGACTTACCGCAGGAAAGGAGTCAGTCTGTGCTTGTGGATGCATTTCGCCGACTCTGACGCGTGTAATTTTATTGCTGAAGTCAATTCAAATTTCATCACCTTTCAAGCGTTGCCTCAGATTCCCGATTTAACGCGATTAAATTTCAGACTGCGGATAAGGTGTAGTCCATGCCCAAAGGGACAGACATAAAAGAGGAGAGAATGGGTACAGGAATTGCAGAAGCCGTAAAAGCGGAAGCAGAGGCAGGAAGGACAGGAAAGTTGGAGAGAAGTAAGGGAAGAGAGGAGGAGATGCGAGAGGAATGAAATGAGGAATGAGCAACAGGTACTAAGTGCTTATCGAAAGTCGCAGGTTTTCTGTTGAAAGGAATTTTGCTTTTTTGCTCTAATAGACTTGCATTACAACAAGTTATAAGATTATGATTCAAGAAAGCTGTTGTTATTCTCGTTTAAAGCAGACCATGAGAGTAAAACAAATCACTTATAATTTGCCTTTCTAGCCAATATGATTTTGGGACAAGGGGAATTTGGGGTACTCCATGACCGTCCCTCGGTTTGCCTGTCCCCACCACCTCCTCTGCATACCGGTGCATATGTATGAAGACTCACCATAAACTTCATTTTGGTCCTATTTGCCGATCTTGAAATGGAACGAAGGTGACCCGATTCAGAGGTCACGCGACCGTTGGTGAATATCTGTGTCACAGTGCAATTAACTGAACGACCTTTATAGTGCTTCATTGATGCGATATCGAGCGGCAGGAGGTTGATTTCTAAAACGATAAAGTGCGGCTGCATCTAAGCCTGAGTCTTGATTTTATTTCCCAGAAAAATAATAAATACATCAACATCCACCTTGGTATATGCATATATACGTGCATTTCTTGCCCCCAAAATGACGGCTACTACTGAGGCGCTGCTGATAAATGACAGGATGCAACATATTACAACACAATACATCATGCGTGTTGCCTACAACATGGCGTTGAACCTGTGAATTCGTGACTTAATGGTCGTCTGCCCTCCCATTGTATTGTGTCCCCAGTTCAGTTTGCGTCGGGTATTGTAAGATTGCACTGGAAATTTCTATTCACTAACACGGTGTCTGGACAATCAAAGCTGTAAGTGAAGTCGAAATCAACCTGACGAAGCTTCTTTGACGATTTGTGCCCAAGAAGACTCTAGATACACATTGGAGCGAAATTACACCAATTGTGCTTTCACATACCAGAGTGATCTGAATTATGATGATTGCCACCAGGTACTGCTGCAAGTAACAAGCCAATGTCCTCATCCTTAGCAAATCTGTTCAAAGGAACAATCTTTTCATTAAATTATGGTCAACATAAAGGCAGCGTGTATGAAAAGGGATAAAACAACTTTTCCTTACCATAGAGGAGAACTGTTGTGGCACTTGTATTGCGAGAGCTTTGTGTCCATGTTATATATACCCCCTTTGAGTACGTGTTGCTAAAGTTATAAAAACTGGAACAATGGACAACTCCTGTGCTACCCGCGACGGTAATTGTGTCACTTTTGAGTACCCATTCTTTCCACGGGGATGGACGAAATACATGACACATGAGCGGGGTTGGCAAAGGGCACGGGAATGCCGCATTTATCTAAATTAATGGGTAGTCTCAGGAGCTGCCAATGTAACAATAAATGACGTGTGCTACATTAGTGACAGAAGCAGGCAAACCCATATTTGAGTGGAGAACAAAGCAGGTCACCTCGTCCAAAGGCCGTGGAGAACATGACTGCTTCTACTAAAAAACGATTCGCATGCGACACACGCCAGCTGTCAAACATGTACCAATTCATAGCATTATTCCCAAATTTACCTTCTTTACATACAGTTAATCTAATAGCCAACAAGATTGTGATGGCAAACGCACTAACATTGAGGGAATAAAATCTTGTTCATATCCATCACAATCTCTGGAAATTTAAGTTAATGTTGATTTCAGCGCCGTCGGATAACAATAATGTACCCATTGCAGAGAAAGTCGCTTCTCATCTCTGGAGACGTTACTGGCTAAGCAATGGGATCGACAACACCAGTCTCTGACTCCACGAAGCACGTCTTCGCGTTCCTCTTAAATTGATGATAACAAATCACTTCGATAATGCCATTTCAAAATCCATTCTTTCTTAAAGTTGATCAGATTTTGTACGAAGTACACAAACTAGTAAAGAAGCGACTAATAAGATAACCCATTGCATTATAATGGCTAAGAGAAACCGATGAAATAGCTTACGACAATGCAATTAAGTTGGTATAAGAAATGTAATTGAAGTCGGGGGCTTTTATGCTTTTTCTCCGGAGGTACGCGCCTCTTTTAAACCCCTTTAGCTCATGCAGTGCCCCTCTTAATAAAGAGGCGATGGTGAGATTTCTTATAATTGGTGAGACTTCTAACGAAAGGCCGGAACGCAGAATAAAAGGCGTGAGTGATGATAAATTGCAGCCACTCGGGTCTTCCCTGAAGTCGTTGTACGTCACAGTCGTCTCTTAAAGGGGTGGCTGCAGGTACGGATTTGCCCGGTGACACAATCAGACTGCAGCGCTGTGGTTGGGTGGCATTACTCAAAGTGGAGATAAGCGTATCGCCAATTGTTTTCTTATTTAGGCTATTTGGTCAATCGCTTACCTACGAATTGTCCTTTTTTTCGTTACGAAATGCCATATTACGATATAATATGCACAGTACCAAATCCAAAATCATTTGCAAAAACGGTACATGACTTAAGTAGATAAACATTTCAGCCTTTTCTTTTTAACAAAACCTAAGCAAATGCCCGGAAGGTAGTAGTATAATGAGTGGAACAGTCAAATTTTCGCATAAAAATGTTTTTTTTTGAGAAAAATTGCCCTCGCAAGGACATCAAGCTCTTAGCTGTTCCCATTCCTACACTACTACCAGTACGATCCCTCGAGTCCTTTTATATTTTGTCGAGCAGTTGTCGACCTTTGCATGGAAATGTGGTTAAATGAGTCGTTTCTAATGTCGACACACGGAGCTTGAAGTAGGCAGCATGAAACAAGGGAAAACCTACCTGGTGATCTTGTCAATTTGTTGTATCACCTCCCTGAAGATGCAATATTGCATAATGATATGCGGCAGGAGGCGGTAGACATGGTCGAATAACCAGGCTGTGGAGGAGGCGTACAAATTACGAGGACTCAGGAGTCTGTGTTTAAATGCACAGTTAAATGAATTTCAAAGCATGAAACGGTAAG